CTAGTAGTAGGTTGTCTTTTTGTTTTGTTGATGATTTTCTTTGTTGTGTAAAACTTTTTAGTTTGATATAATCCCATTTGTTTCTTTTTTTCCCCTTTTGTATCAATGGCTTGAGGACAAATATCCAAAAAGATATTCCTAAGATATCAGAGTTTACTTCGTATGTTTTTTTTTCTAGAAGTTTTTGGTTTTTTGTTTAAAGTTTACCATTTAATTCTTTAATGAAAGAATTAATGAGTTTATTTTTGTATGGTATAAGAAAGTGGTTCAATTTCATTTTTTACATCCATCTGTAACTTTAATTATTGGTCTCAAAACTCCTATGCTACCTCAGCCTGCCTTAATCATAGAAGACAACCTTGACACATAACTTTGAGTAAAATTAAGGGTATAGTGTAAAAATACTTCAACTTTCTTCCTTTTATCTTTCTCTCCATTCTGCCCCCAAGAAAAACCTCTTAACCTGTACCCTTTATTTATTTATTTTTGCCTCTGCTCTTGCAAGAATATGCATCTTCTCTGTTTCCTCTATGGTCTTGCAATATCCATTATTTCCTCTCTTTCTTATCTTCTTAAAACTTTTTCTTTATAACCTATCTTCCTTGTCACCCTGTGAATATGTTTGATTATTCTATGATAGAACCAACTACAAAAAAACACATAATTTCTTTAATTCTGCATCCATTAGTATAATTACCTTCTTATCTCTTTACTTTCCACCTGAAATTATAATTGATGGGAAAAAACTGAAAACTTTTCCCTTAATATCAGAAACAAGACAGGGATGTCCCCTTTCACCACTCATATTCAACATAGTGCTTGAAGTCCTAGCCACAGCAATCAGACAAGTAGAAGAAATAAAAGGCATTCAAATTGGAAAGGAGAGTATAAAACTGACATTATTTTCAGATGACATTATATTGTACATAGAAATCTCTAAAAACTCCACCAAAAAAATACTAGATTTAATAAATGAATTCAGAAAAGTAGCAGGATACAAAATTAACACCCAGGAATCAATGGCATGTCTATGCACCAATAATGAACTCTCAGAAAAAGAAACTAAGAAAACAATCCCTTTTACCACTGCAACAAAAAATAAGATACTTAGGAATAAATTTAATCAAGAAGGTAAAAGACCTGTACTTAGAAACTATAGGACATTGAAAAAAGAAATAGAGGAAATACAAACAAGTGGAAGCATATACTATGTTTATGTTTTGTAAGAATTAACATCATTAAAATGTCCATACAACCCAATGCAATCTATAGATTCAACACAATTCCTATTGAAATACCAATGGCATATTTCACAGATCTAGAACAAATATTCCAAAAAATTATATGGAACCAAAAAAGACTATGAATAGCCTTAGTAATCTTGAGAAAGAAAAATAAAGTTGGAGGGATCACAACACTAGATATCAAACTATACTATAAAGCCACTGTTATCAAAACAGCTTGGTAATGGCACAACAACAGGCATATAGATCAATGGAACAGAACGAAGAGCCAAGAAATGAATGCACACCTTTATGGTCAATTAATATTTGACAAAGGAGGCAAGAGTATACAATGGAGTTAAAACAGACTCTTCAATAAATAATATTGGGAAAATTGGGCGGTAAATGCAATAAAATAAACCTAGGCCACCAAGTTACACCATACATAAGAATAAGCTCAAAATGGATAAAAGACTTAAATGTAAATCATGAAAACATAAAAATCCACAAAGCATAGGCAGTAAAATATCAGACATAGCTCAGAGCAATATTTTTGCTGATATGTCTCCAAGGGCAAAGGAAACACAGGAAAAAATAAACAAATAGAGCGACATCAAACCAAAAAGCTTCTGCACGGCAAAAGAAACCATTGACAAAACAAAAAGGGAACCCATTGTATGGACAAAGATATTCGCCAATGATTCATCTAATAAGTGGTTAATCTCCAAAATATATAAAGAAAATATACAACTCAACACCAGGAAGACAATCTAACTAAAAATGGGCAAAGAATCTGAATAGACATTTCTCCAAAGAGGACATAGAGATGGCCATTAGACATGAAAAAATGCTCAAGGTCTCTAATCATCAGTGAGATGCAAATTAACATTACAATGACATATCACTTCACACCTTTCATAGTGGCTACTATCAATAAATCAACAAACAACAAATGCTGAAGAGGGTGTGGAAAAAAAGAGCTCTTTGCCCACTCAGTGGAAAAAGTATAGGGTTTCCTCAAAAAATTAAAAATAGAACTGCCTTTTGACCCAGTGATCCCACTTCTGGGTTTATATATTCTAAAAATCCAAAAACACCAAGCAGAAAGAATGTATGCATCCCTATATTCATAGCAGCTTTATTTACAATAGCCAAGACCTAGAAACAGCTCAAATGCCCATCAGTAGATGAGTGGATAAAAAAGTTGAGGTATGCTTCCATAATGGAATGCTATGCTGCTGCAAAAAAGGAATTCTTATCCTTTTGACAGCATGGATGGATCTGGAAATTATTATGCTAAATGAAATAAACCAGTCAGAGAAAGACAAATTCCTTATGATCTTCATAATATGTGGAATCTAATGAACAAAGTAAATTGATGAACAAAATAGAACCAGAGGTATGGATACATGGAATAGACTGACAAATATCAGAGGGAAGGGTGGCGGGGGGACGATAAAGGAAGTTTAAGGGAATAGCTAAAGAACATATATGCATCATAGCCTATGGATGCACAGACAATAGTGTGGTGAGGGTCAAGGTGGGGGTGGTGGGCAAATGGGGTGGGGTGAATGGGGGCATTTGCAATACTGTCAACATTAAAAATGTAAGTAAAAGTAAATAATAAATCAATTTTACAAAGACAGAAAAACCTAAGAAGAGATAGATAAAACTGGAGTGGAGGAAGAATAAGAGAAAGCATAGCAATGAAATGTAGGAAACTATCACCAAGAGCCACTCTAACGTCTGAAGCATTGAGTTTATGATAGGTGGGTATGTTTGATTGACTTAAAGGGTCAGAGTCAAGATCAACACTGACAGAAAAATCTATGATATGGCTGAACATCTTTCCCCTCTATTTAAAAGACTTTATTGGCTTCCTGACAACTACAGGACAAAATCTAAGATTTCAAAATGACCTAAATGGGCCTCCATGATCAGGCTATTTCCTGTCTATGCAACCTCACCTTCTACCACTGCCAGATTGACCTCCAGGCTTCATCAACATTAAATACATGGTGTTTTTTTTGATTCCCTGTAATTTTTCACATATTGTTTTCTCTGCCTGGAATGTCTGCCATTTCTCATTTCTTGGGTAAGCTATTTATCCTTCAATTCCTATACAGACATCAGCAACTCCAGTAGGCTTTTATGAATGCCCCTACCCCCAGAGTTATCCATCCATCTATCCATTTATTTTTTTAATTATTGAGCAAATATTTATTGAGTAGTTAGTAGAGTCCAGATACTGGGAATACCCTGGTGAATAAAACAGATCAAACATAGTCTTTATTCTTCTTGGATTTATATTTAGTGGTGGGTACACAAACACAACACACATGCAAATAATCAGACAAATAAAATAATCACCATTTTACCAAGTGCTATGAATAAAATAAACAAGTAACTGGGATACAGAATAATGAGGATAAGTGGTAAATACAGAGGCAACCTATTTTAGTATAAGATTGAGCCATATGAAAGTGCTGGTATTCAACTGTTTTTGTTTTGTATAATTGGCAATGTATGTAGTTCAACTTAACAGCTGCCTTTCTGATGAATTGACATTCACACTGAGACAGGAAGAATGATGTGGAACTAGCTATGGTGGCTAAGCTAGCATATTTCAGAAAGCAAGAGAAGACTAGAGAAGATAGAATTGAGAAAAGTGGTGAGTGACCCTAGGTGAAAGTAAGAGAAATAAGCAGGACAGATCATATAGGAATATGGATTTGATTATTATTAAAATGTAAAGCCACTGTGGTATTTTAAGATCCTTCTGATTGTGGTGTGGGACTGGAACGGAAAGGAGTAAAGGCAGAGATTTATATAAAGAGGCAATATAGCGTTGTGTTGGGTGTGAAGGATTTGCGGTCTGGCTACTTTGGTTTAAATTCTGGTTCTTCCATTTATTAGCTGTTACGTTATGTAAGTAAATAAAATCCTCTAGTTGTTAAGTTACTAAAATTCTCTAAGCCTGAATTTCTCCATCTGTGAATTAGGGACAATAATAGAATCAACCTCATAGAGATTGAATGAGATAATCCATTGCAAACCACTAACCAGTCTCTGGCAGAAAATAAACACTCAGTAGATACTAGATAGTAATAGTCCAAATGAGAGATGGTAGTGCCTGGATTAACTGGATGACAATATCTTTGGAGAGAAGTGAATGGATATGAGACCTTTTGTGGAAGTTTACACAACAGGATTTAGTAATGGATTGGATGTGAAAGTTGAGGGAGAAAGATTTTGTTCAGGTGTATCTGAATTTCTAGAGTGCTGTCAAAGAATTGAGTAGATTGTGCTGCACTTTCACAAGTTGGAAAGGTCTGCCTGGTACAGGATTTTGCAATAAAAATTTGTCTCGTTCCTCATACCATATGAGGCAGAATCAACGAAGGGGAAAAAGGTATGTATTATACACTATAAAAGGAAATACTTATTAAACATTTTAGATAGCAGAACCTTACATGAGTCATATAAAACACTTTATGTTTATTTGTACCACAATGTCTAAAATATGCAAAAATCTTAAATATGTCTATTTGTTGTTTCTAAGGTCTAAGTTTTGAAAATTTCTACTGTATGATGTGATAGCAGTGGACAGTTAAGCTTATGTATTTATTTTGTCTTATATTCAAGCTGCTTTATAATCATTCCATCTGCTTCTCTCACAGAATAGAGCCCACTTGGTATACCAGCAGATGAAGAACTTAAGGAGTGTGTCTAACCTTATTCGCCTTAGCAACTGAGAGTCTGCTCTGTGACCATTAGGCACCATGGGAAAGAGAGATAACCGGGTAGCCTATATGAATCCTATAGCAATGGCCAGATGGAGGGGCCCATCTCAACCTGTAGGCCCAACAATACAAGATTATCTGAATCGACCAAGACCCACCTGGGAAGAAGTGAAGAAAAAAATAGAAAGTAAAAAGAAAGGCTCCAAAGCATTGGCAGAATTTGAAGAAAAAATGAATGAGAATTGGAAGAAAGAACTAGAGCAAAGCAGGGAGAAAGCATTAAGTGGAAATGAGGGTCCGTCCAGAAAAAGAGAACGAAAGAAAAAGAAAAAGAAGAAATCTTGTCAGTCTTCATCTTCTTCATCAAGTTCTGATTCTTCGAGCAGTTCTTCAGATTATGAGGTTGAGAAAAAGAAACGAGGAAAAAAGAGAAAGAAAAAGAAGAAGCATTCACACAAATCATCAGAAAGCTCTACATATGAATCTGAATCAGAAAGCAAGGAGTATAGAAAAAAGAAAAAGAAGTCAAAGGATGAAACAGAGAAAGAAAAGTATATTAGAAGTGTCAGCAAAAAAAGAAAGAAGACTCACCCTGAGGATAAACCTCTATCATCAGAGTCCTCATCAGAATCAGATTATGAAGAGGAGGTTCAAGCAAAGAAGAAGAGAAGACATGAAGAGCAAGAACAAACAATGGAAAAAGCAAAGAAGAAGAAAAAGAAACATCACAAGAAACATAGTAAGAAGAAGAAAAAGAAGTCGAGTTAAGTCACAAGTCAGGATAACATCAAGATGAAATAAAGCAAGATTTCTCTATTTAAAAAGCAAGGCCTAAAAGAAAATCCAACTGTGAATGTTTGGGCCCATTTACCAAAATGCATGAGTTTCCCTGTGTTAATAGAATTATTCCTGGACTTTGAATTTCCAGTCAAATGCCACTGTGTCAGAAAGGGCCATAATTGTTGCCTGTGACTTATAGATAGGATTTTGTTTGTGTGTTTTTCCTTCCAGTGTTTACTCTGACACCTGAAATGCTGTTGTCATACTAGTGGTTAAAATGGTTGGAATTAAAGTAAAATGTTTTAGATAATATTTATGACAGAAATATATCTAATTTTAAAGTTATCTAATTTGGGTATATGTTATCTGAAAGATCCAGACAAACATAATTGACATTTTTGAAGCATGGACTAAACATTGATGTCTCAAAATCCTTATTTTTGAAGATAAGTTTAATTTATTTCATTTTTCTCCTTAAAAAACTTTTGTTTACATGGGGAAAGGGCTTGTGTGTCGGGGGGAGAGTTTGTTATCACTTTGGCTAGCTGAATAGTGTGCCTTTGATCCTTACACATTCTATTTTTGCCAGTGCAGCAGCCATTTTTTTCTTACTGAAATTCTGGTATGTTGTTGTATGCTGCTTCAAGTGAACAAGAAAGACAACAACTTAACAGTATAAGTAAGCCCCCAATTCTATGAAATTTACCTCTAATTCAACAGTACTGAATAGAATTTAGCATTAGAATGTTACATGATTTGCATTATCTTTGATACCCATTGGAGGGGAATAATTTTAAATAGACCCTGGTATTTTTTGATTAATAAAGATTCTGAAATATTTTGCATGTTTTATACTATTAATTTTTGATTATCCACAGATATTCTATATAACCGGTACTCCTTTTTATATGATTTATGCTTAAAATACAAGTTTCAAGTTTGTAATTTCTTACTCTTACTATATTAATTTCATTACTGTGTTTAATTTCACACTTGCCAAAATATTTAGCATGTAAAAAAGAAGGTTTTTAAAAAATATTTAATGCCTTCATATTGAAGCTGGTTTACTGTAAGCAAGTTGAGTGCCAGACCTCTAGTATATTGTGTGTCTTGTTATACAAAACTACTGCCACAATTTTAGTAAATATGCTGTTTTTAAAGTTTGTTGTCTTAAGCATTACTAGTGAATTAATATAAGAGTTGAATTTGGGAGATAATGATATCATTTATCTTCCTATGTCATATTTTACTAAGAACCCGTGCCTCATTTCTGTTGCTGATTCATGTTAACCACTAATGCTGAAATGAGTTGAAAATTATTTTTACTTTACATTTTTATATATCAGAATAATATGATTTATAAATTGGTGTTTCAAAAAATACCTATTACAGGAGATGGGCCAATTGTAATGTCATATGTACAAAATATTTTGGCATGATGAGAGTCAATAGCTATTTTTTTTAATTGCCCATTTCGCGTCTGGTCCCTTGAATCGCAAGCAAAACTATTATAAAAATAGAAAACATCTAGTAGGTAAATAACATATTGGCTCCTTACATTTTTGGAGTGGAAATAACAAAACCTCTCAGTGAGGTTCTTGAAAAGTTATAAATGTAATAACATGTTAAATAACATTAAAGCTTCATAACATGTGTTTCCTAATATATATATAATCTATATATCTATAAGCTGATAAATTTATTATATTTAAGGGATATTTTGTATCCATATAAAGTTTTTCAAAAATTGTTGTTCATTAAAATATGAAAAAGCTTATATCATTTGTGGAAAGTGGCAAAGACAATGACAACTTATCAGATGTGCTCTTATCACTACCCAGCCCATTGTAGTTAGGCAATGCCATTTGACTACTTCTAGCAGAGGTTTTGCAGAGAGATTGTAAACAGAAGCGATGTGTCCTTTCCATAGTGGAGCTGTAAAAAGTCCTGCCTGGATCCTCCGGCTCTCTCTTTACTCTCCATGATGATCTGAAACCAATGTGCTCCTAATGGCATACCTATAAGATGGATGCAATCTGGGTCTCTAAGTCATTGTTTGTAAGGTACCTGTCCTGAAGAGCTGATGGACTTGCAGTGAATGTTTTTAGAGTGAGAAATAAATTGCTATGTGTTAAGCCACTGAGATTTTGGGTATTTTTTGATACAACAGCATTCATCACCTAACCTAATCTAATAACATAGAGCTCTAGAATGTTTATTTCATTATTTACATAAAATAACTCATATCTTCTATCACATCTCCCCGTGGTCTGCAGTTGTTCAGAGGTGACCATTTATGCATAGTAGAAGGAAATGCTATTTCATTTGCATTGTTATTTTATTTAATGACTGAAGAAGAGAATAGTCTAGCACAGTGGTCGGCAAACTCATTAGTCAACAGAGCCAAATATCAACAGTACAACTGTTGAAATTTCTTTTGAGAGCCAAACTTTTTAAACTTAAACTATATAGGTAGGTACATTGTTATTAACTTAATTAGGGTACTCCTAAGCGCCTTTGCTAAAAATGTCCTCAATCTGATTGAGGTACGTTCGCTGAGGTCGACCCCTTCCAACTCTCCCATCCACACTCCTCTATCTGAAACAAGTATACAAGAAGAGTGTGGATGGGAGAGTTGGAAGGGGTCGACCTCAGCGAACATACCTCAAAACAATGTACCTCCCCTGAGTTGCGTATCCCACGCCCCACCTGCACCCGCGTCTCCCTTCACCCAACCTACCAACACCCCCCACTTCTTCTTTATTTTATTTTATTTTTATTTTTTTATTTTTTTTATTGCTAAAAGTATTACAAAGGGTATTACATATGTGTCCTCCCCCCCGCCGCCCTTGACAATCCCCTGGCCTCCCTTACCCCCCAGTGTCTTATGTCCATTGGTTATGCTTATATGCATGCATACAAGTCCTTCGGTTGATCTCTTACCCCCCTCCCTCCTGCCCCCCAACCCTCCCTGGCCTTCCCGCTGCAGTTTGACAATCAGTTTGAGGCAGCTCTGTCTCCCACTTCTTCAAAATAGACTCGCCCAGGCCGAAAGCTGACTTCTGCGCATGGGCCACGAAGTTTCAATCGCACTGTATGTGCGCGCCCACACGTGGTATTTTGTGGAAGAGCCACACTCAAGGGGCCAAAGAGCCGCATGTGGCTCACGAGCCACCTTTTGCCAACCACTGGTCTAGCATAATATTTCATGCTTATCAGCAATGCTGACAGACTAGGACAGTGATGGCAAACCTTTTGAAAAACCCTAACTTAACTCTGGTGCCGTGTCACATATAGAAATTTTTTGATATTTGCAACCATAGTGAAACAAAGATTTATATTTTTGATATTTATTTTATATATTTAAATGCCATTTAACAAAGGAAAATCAACCAAAAAAATGAGTTCGCGTGTCACCTCTGTAGGTTCGCCATCACTGGACTAGGAAGTAAAGCTTCATTATTCCTCTGATTATAGCCAAAACAATCTTCCAGGAAAGGTTTTGGAAAGGTTTTGGGAAGGACATTTAAAAAAGGTCTCATGATGACTTTATGAAGAAGAGGAATGCTGTGTTTTAGATGTAAGTCATTGGTATATGGTACAGAAAAGTGATATGGACATATGTAGAGAGCAATAGGCTAAATGGATTCAGGTGATCATTTAATATGTAACCTCTATATTGAAATTTTTCCCTTACATGAAAAACACTAAAATTGCTTTATGTGACTCATAAGAATAATACCTTTAGCTATAACATTCAACTAACTTTGTGGAAAGGGAAGCAGTGAGAAAGTCAATAAGAAAGTAGATGGGAGAGGACAACAATCAATATAATCTATATTAAGAATGTAATTGCAAGCACAAAAAGAAGAATTTGAAACATCTCAGGCTGTAAAAGGATTAGCTTGGACATAAGAAGAATGAATAAAATTTGAGGTTCTGGTTTTATATCTTGTAATATGATAGCTCCTTTGTTTATTATAAATTTATCTTGAGAAAGTTGTACCTTTGGCATTGTAACTGTAGTTATTTCCTGTTTAGTTATATTTATTTTACAAAGCAATATTTAATCTGATGTAGGTTTATAGCTACTTCTTGACTCATGAAAACTGTAGTCAAACATTCAAACATACCTATGCACTTTAGCGCTGAACTGATTTTTCTAATCATTTCTGACATGAAAACAAGATGTGTTCTTTTTTTAAAAAAAATAGCTCTATCACTTTTTCTTGACTCTTTCATGATACTTACCTTAGTCTACTTAGTATTGTGTGTTTTGTTATAATTGTTATGAGCATTGGCTCTTGGCTAAGCACCAGGTTGAAATTCTTGGTGTGCCATTTCTTGATGTGTGAGCCTAATTAAGTTAGTTGTTTTTTTGTTTTTGTTTTGTTTTGTTTTTTTTTTTACCTTGGTGTGCCTCAATTTTCTCAGATACAAAGTCAGAAGAAATAATAGTGTCTATCTCCAGGATTATTATGAGAATAAGACAGAATAACATTGAAAGCATTAACACAGTTCTCGGTACATAGTAAATGCTCAATAAATGTTATTTCCTCTTTTTGCTGCTATCATCATCATCATCATCATCATCATTATCATCACCATTATAATCATCATCAATATTATATCATTATCCCATCCCCACTACTGTATTTTAACCTCCTTAAAGGTAAGTGGCTGTTTTATCTTTTATCTCTTGCAGTGATGGTATACAGTGTTTTGCATATGATAAGTGCCTCATGATTTTCACCAAACTGAATTAGTTGGTCAGGCCCTGGAAGAAAGGAGAATCTAAATGAATGCAATGTATCAGATGCTAGTATAAGCCCCTTACCTCACATTTTACGCAGCTTACTGAAATATAATTAATATACCATCTGATTCACCTTTTAAAACTATACAGTGGTTTATAGTATATTTATGGATACATGTGAGCAAAACCACAATCAATGTTAGTACATTGTGATCACCTCAAAAAGAAACTCCATATTCTCTTTTTCCTATCACCACCAGTTTCCA